AATCCAACTGTGCTTCGTAGAGTACAAATCACGCGCGAAACGAGTACAAATATCACGCGATATTTGTACTCCAGACAACTATCCGCGAACTATTCCACTGTAACAATTTGGTGTGTTGGATAATAAATCTCGTATTAGACGTTTTGTTTTGTAGTATTGTGGAGCATTTTCACTCGTTGTTTGTATTTTGACTCGTCCTAAGGGTTCGTCAAAAGATGGCACAACTCGTAAAAATATTCAGCAATGCTACAAACCAAAATGTCTAATAAAATATCTTTACTAATGAGTTGTCAGGAGTGAGAGGGTGAAAACACTTCTGTGTGCTGTCCATCTACTGAGAAAAGTGCTCAATTTTAAATTCCAATTACATGTAGTTTTAGAGGGGCTGGCAATCAGATTGTCATTATACAAATTGCAGGTTGCAGTAAGAAACTTGCTTCGGAGTTTAGCAGGTTGATTTTTTACTGTGGGAAGAATAAAAACCGTTTCCTTCCAAGAAAAAAAAGTTAATGAAAACTAAAACATTTTGTTAAGTTAGGTAAGAAACACATTCTATTAATTGGCAGGAGATTGAATGAGCTTCATTGATATAGTCAACTTAACATTTTGAAAGTTATTATCGGCTAATGTTGTTAGAGAAAATGGAACTTGAGGAAGTGCTAGCAATGAATTAATATACCATATCATGATTAAAGAGTTTATGAGTTATATTTCTTTTTAATTATCACAGTAATGATTAGCGTGTCGTAAAATCAGACTTTTTAATTGATGTTATGTGACACCCTGTGTATTTTGCATTTCATTAATAACTTTATCATAATAGATAGATAGATAGTTTATTACCAAAAAATAAAAATACTTTGCAGCCATAGGCTGAATTGCGTACTTTTGGCAATTATTTATAAATATGTATATGAGACTATATAAAACTACAAAATTTACAAAAGATTCTAAGACCTAATATAATTACAATTATACAGCAATGGAATAAATACGCAGTCGATGCTAAGACCCTAGATTAATCAACGAGGAGCTTTTTACTGTAGCTTTCGAACACTTGCTAATTTGAAAGTCTAAAAGTGTCATAAGAGAAATTTAGACCACATATTCCCTTTCTGATTATTCCTTAGAAGTGGGTTGCATATCAAAATCACATACTCCACTTAATATTTTTTGTCAATTTGCGGAACAAAATCCTTTTAACCACATGTAACAGTTTGATAAGGAAATGTTATGACACTGAATAAGAAGTAGGACATATGATAAGTTCAGGTAACTGAAAAACTAGGAGTGAAGCATTGATTTTATTTAGTAATACTTCCTATGTACTGAAAACAGTTTTTTCCCTGAGACTGTTGTGTAATCATGATTGCAAATAACAGATTTTTTTTAGCAGTATTCTGAGTATACTATTTAATTTGTGATGGCATAATGCTCAATACACATGCACTTCGTACAATTTTGTGTTACAATGACAATAAAGAGAGACGAGAGTTGACTATGACAGTTAGCTTTATTGACACGTCCCCATTTAATAGGGAGTTTTTCTGTGACAGTTATACTTAAAATTAACACCATCATGAACTAAGTAGTTTAAAATAAAATTACAATTTAAATATCATCTAAACATCTGGTGGTTACAAACTGAAAAGGCAGGTCCCGAGCCATTCAACACGAAATACAGCAGCGCAACTCAAGTGGTTAAGACTGCACCATATGACTAAAAGAAATGCTTCAGGAGCTGACCTCTTAAAATGCGTTTAAAACCTTCGGCTAATGAATTTTTCTAACTGGTTCCATAAGGAAACAGTTTTATTATTAAATGTTCTTTTCTCTTGTCCAGAAACAGTTTCACGTGCAGAATGTTCAGAAGCTGAGAGCCATGAAATGTCCTATCAGTTATCTCCCCTCCATTTACAAACAGAGCTTTCAAATAGTCTGGTACACAATCAGTTAGTTATTTAAAAGCTAAAACTACGTCACGGCCATTCGTAGCAACCAGTGAGCATGATTTGCGCGAGCAAGTAACGTGCGCAAGGGAAAGAGAATTACTGGGAATGAGTCAACTTGAACAGTCGTCTGAGTGCAATGTGGCACTTGGTATCCATACGTCTGAGGAACCGGTCAATCACCTATGAAGTGGGGAGGGAGGATGGGGTTCGGGGAATTTTAGTTGTGTAATATAATAATAATTCTCCCTATCCCAATTCATTGGATAAAGCCGATAGAACCAGCTTATCGGGTCCCTGGAACTAATTCGAACTTCATGCGTGATTACAGTAAGAACTCTGTTGCTGCGAGTAATGTTCGTTTGGGACCGCCGTCTGCTGCTTGCTTACAGTCCGTTGAGAGCTCTACTGGACGTGTAACTGATCAACTAAATCAAGCTCGAGCTCGGGATATTTCACAGTATTTTCTCTCAGATAAAATTGATTTTGTTGAGGGAAATTGTACAAGATTATTAAATATTCAATCTGCATCGCCTGACCGCAATCTCCCTCGGGACATGACCACACTGTGGAATCTCTCGAGGGATGCTACTTTGTTGCGGGATCAACGCGCTGGACATTGCTTCTTCGACTAGGAATCCATCTAATCTGCGTTTTCTTGAAAGAACACCACCTTCTCTTCCACCCAAAAGGTTGTTGCAGTTTACGTCTGGCAATGTAAACACAAGGTCAATCAGGAACAAGACTGCAGAGTTTTTGCATCATGTTCTGGATAGTAGACTTGATGTTTGTGCGGTGACTGAGACTTGGCTCAATGAACAAGACACCGTTAGTCTGGCCTCATTATCACCTTTGGGATTTAATTTTAAGAATTTCCCTAGACCATCTGAACGAAATGGCGGTGTTACGGGTGTTTTTTATAACCTGAGCCTGGATCTGTCCTTTCCTAACGGTAGGGAAAAGTCGTCTTTTGAGTTCTCGGAGTGAAAATTATCTGCGCATGGCAAGATAATCAGGCTTGTGGTCGTCTATCGTCCTCCTTATTCTAAGGAGTATCCTGTACTAGCAAGTGTATTTTTCCAAGGGTTCTCTGGTTTTTTGGAAACTACAGTGTTATGTCCTGAAGTCTTGTTGGTTTCTGGTGATTTTAATTTCAACCTCGATGATCCCCGTGATGCTGATACGAGAAAGTTCATGGAACTCGTGGATACGTTTGGTTTGCTGCAACATATTACCACCCCTACGCATGTTTCTGGACATATACTCGATCTTATCATCGCACGGTCGTCTAATGACATTAATGCTTTCCCTCGGAAGTCGACATACTACATTTCTGATCATTGCTTTACTGAATGTAATCTGCACTATAGTCTCCAAATTAGCTGAGAAGGCAATTGTGGCTCAGCTTTTCCGGCATTGCTCTGATAATGCTCCACTTCCAGTTCATCAGTCATCTTATCGTAGGGTTCATTCAAATAAGACGGCCCTTCTTAAAGTCCAGAGTGATATACTCTCCAACATGGACAAACAGGAAGTAACTCTTCTTGTTCTTTTAGATCTGAGTTCCGCCTTCGAAACTGTCGATCATAACATCCTGATTGAAATCCTGGAATCAGATTTTGGAATTTGCGGTGATGTTCTGAAGTGGTTTAGATCATATTTTCTGACTGGAAGGATACAACGTGTAATTGTTAATCAGTAGTCCTCCAGGAACTTCAATTTAAATTGTGGTGTTCCTCAGGGGAGCTGTTTGGGACTTGCTGTCCTTTTTCTATTGTATGCATCAAGGCTGTTTGAAATTGTTAAGAGGCACCTTCCATCAATTTATGGGTATGCTGATGATACTCAGTTGTACGTGTCGTTTGATCCAGATTCGTTTGCTGCTCAAGATCAAGCGACTAAGGCTACTGAGAACTGCATAGCTCATGTTAGGGCTTGGTTAGTCTCACACAGGTTGATGTTTAACGACTAAAAGACAGAATTTCTAGTCATCGGTTCGTCGCAGCAGTTATCTAAGGTTACCATTCCTTCAATTAAACCCCTTAAGCATGTTAGAAACCTTGGCGCATGGTTTGATAACCATATGTCTATGAATACTCATATAGGAAAGTTGTGTAGTAAGGCATTTGGGGGGCTATATAATATTAGGCAAATTAGGAAATATTTGTCTGCAGAATCAACAAAGTGTTTAATTTATGCATTTGTTACATCACATTTAGATTATTGCAATGCTCTTTTGTATAAGCTTCCGCAATATTAATATGATCGACTTCAAAAAGTTCTTAATGCGGCGGCTCGGGTTACATGCTTAATTCCTAAGTCTGCTCATATTACGCTGATACTTAGGGAACTTTACTGGTTGCCGGTGAAATTTAGAGTAGAATTTAAGGTTGCGCTTTTAGTTTTTAAAACGTTGAATGGCCTGGCACCACAATATTTATCTGAACTACATGTTGTAAAGCCTAGAACTAGATGCAGCCTGCGGTCTGATTCTGAAACATTGCTGTTATTCTAGGGTGACACGGAAGACTTTTGGCGATCGAACCTTTTTCCATGCTGGACTAACAGTATGGAATGCCTTGCCATCTTTTCTTAGAAACTGTAGGAACATCGACTCTTTTAAAGTACAGTTGAAGACTTATCTTTTTAAGAAAGCTTTTAATTTGTAATTTTATATTCTTATTACAAGTATTATTTATGCCGTCTAGCCTTAGATACTATACGAACTTTGACTTTTTTAAAGTACAGTTTAAGACTTATTATTCTTCTTAAGAACGCTTTTAATATTGTACAGCGCTTTAGAATATTTTAATAGTTAAAGCGCTATATTAAATGTAATAAATTATTCATTTATTTATTATTATTGGCAGTTGATTGGCAGTCACCTTTCCATAGTCCCCCTTTATGCTCTGTTGACGAAGACAGATCCTCCCACTCCCCGAAAATCTCGCGATTCCGTCAACTTCCTTGAGCCCCTACTCGTCCCCGCTTAGGCGATGTTTGTTCCTTGAGTGCTTCACATTTTGTGTAATTAGCCTGAGTGTTGAAAGATATGCTCGAGTCAGGATGAGCCAAATCTTCGTTTCTCGCCTTTTTGCTGTGCCCAGACTCATTCTGGACCGCTGAAGTTACTGGTAGCTACGATTGCAGGTAACTTCATCAAAATGTTGTCTTCGTTCTCATAACAGACCGGTCAGTTTCGATATCTAAACCTAAAGAAATATTCTCTTCTAAATTGACCGCTTATGGTCGCTGAAAGTGATCAGTGAGGAATTATAATCTTGATTCTGACCCGTTCTTATTTCGGAGTGTGTTCTTGTTACATGAGATGATGTTGCGGACGATATAAAGCACACAGTTTGAAATAATTTGAATATATCAACAAAGTTGAAATGGTAAATTGGCCACCGTTACGATTATAAAAGCTGGCGTTTCGAGCGTTAGCCCTTCGTCGGAGCGGGGGCTAACGCTCGAAACGTCAGCTTTTATAATCGTAACGGTGGCCAATTTACCATTTCAACTTTGTTGATATATTCAAATTATTTCGTTACCCCCCACCGACGCAGCCCCAAAAAGTTTCTTTAGAAACTATCAGCCCTTACAGTTTGAGATAACCGACGAATCAGATAAGTTTCAATAGAAATATCATATGCAAAACTTGGCCAACATTTAAAATGCATGCATTTGGTCACATACTTGTCCTGATATAAATTTCATTTGGCCTGCGGATTGAAAATCACGTTTAGCTATGATCCAGGCCGTTGAGTTTAGCAATTTTAGCAATTGCAGAAGAAACGCCTGAAAAAATTTTAGTCTTCGATGGGATTCGAACCCACTCACACATACTAGTTGAGCTCCCACATCAACTGAGCTAAGAAGCTCCACCTTGACAGCGTGCCATATGTAAGACGTTTGCTTTGCATGTATTCGCCAAGAAACGCATCATATATTTGTTATTACTACAGGGACAGGTGTCGCGAAAAGACTAAGAGAAATCACTGAGAAAAGGATGATTAGGGAGTTTGAATTTCTTAATGTCTATTTTTGTTTAATGTTTTTGAACTGGCTCAAATTATTCTCAATTAACTGTTCGTTTTTTTTAAGGGCAACTTTAAGCCATTGTTGAAATTTGCGAGAAAGATAAAACTGGAAAACAGACAGCAACCCATATGCATCAACATCTTTGACCAAATTTCATCTCTTATTTACTTTTTTGAAGAATTTTCTGGCACTTTCATCATATTATAGCTGATGCATTGTCATACTGGACTCACGTCATATCCTGTTATTTCGAGAAAAGATACTAATATATTGTTCAACGTAATCTCGTTTGCATTTTGTGAAATGATAACATACACCACACGCTGTGTAAGAAATACGGGACATTGTGGCTTAGGTGGTTGAAGCGCTTCCAGGAGCTTAATATCGACCCTTTGTTATGCTTAAAACCTTATTTGATATTTCAAATTTAACTTCTATTAGGCCATAGTGATTGGGCGCTTAACTTTATAATGGTTTTTTTTTTCAGCTCATTATTTATTTAACTTGGAGGCGAATTTTAATTTTCTTAAGTTCTGGCTCAACTTTTTTGCTTGACTTTCGTGTTAGTTTAGAGCGCACAGCCTTTTTTAGTTCAGACTACTTTTTTGCTCATCCAAAATAATTTGGAATTCACTGTCCTCGACTTTTTGTTCAGGCAATCTAGAAGTCAATGGGATGATAGCTCTTAACAGTTAATTTATTTCCGTTGCAATTAATTAAAAGAAGGGTAAAATTTTTCAATCGTACGCCTCGCGGCTATTTTTTTCGCTGCCTTACGGGTGACAGTTAAACCCACTGAGACCCGATAATGCTTCAAAACTAATCGGTTGACAATTACCCGCTCAATGGCGCGCGTCACAATATTGGTGTTAGCCATTTCTGATCCAATATTTTTTTCCCAGTTCCGAATAATCTTGCAAAACAGAGTCCAAAACGGAGAACTAATAAGACGTATGTGCGTAAGACAGAATTTTCAATTGTCTGAAATTTCCAGTCTCACGCGTGCATTTACTGTGAAGTTGGGAATGTAGTCTTCAAAGTTACCGCGCGAAATATAACAAATGATGAGTCAGTTGCTGATCGGTGATCTCGTACACGCTTAAAATTACCATAATTTTGAAATCTCAACCTTGAAATAACTGCAAATTAACAGACAACTTTGAATTTCCTTTTGTCCCTGGATGGATAGGTGAAGTTTGACTTTCGTTTATTGGTTCTTACTATAGGTATAAGGAACAAAGTTAATGGATGGTGAAGTCGCAAATGTAGCTGCGGAAGCAGCTAGGGCCGCATTTGAAATGTCTGTGTCAGCCAGTGCATCAGGCTTTTCTGTCTCCTTGAAAATTGACAACCCTCTTCTGGCAGGAGTTGCGCTGGCCGGTGCCCTGTCGTTAGGTGCATTTTATCTGTCTCGCAGGTATTCTGTAGAAAATGCCATAAGGAATGCTTTGGAAGAAAGGAATGACAATGGAGCTGATCCCGAAGTAAGAAATATCGAAGACGGTTCAATTGTGGTGGAACTTTATTGTCATACAGATCACAGTTTATTACAGTTCGTGGATGACTTTGAAAGAGAGAAGGTGAAGCAAAGACTGGAAAAAGAGTTAACTAAAGTTGGATATAGCAGGGAATTAGATGTGACCATCAGAAATGCTAGAGAGGTGTACAAGAAAGTACACGAAATGAGGTAACAAACTGAGTCATCTCAATATAGCCTAGCTGTTGCCTCATCGTTTTCTATCGATTTCCCCCACCGTAAATAAAAACGAAATGAGGACTGTGGGAACGTTTACAAGGTCGTGGATTTTAAAGGTTATACTTTATGTGATTGTTTTTATAATTTAGAACTGAGGTCTCTACTCTAGAGTGTTTTTTAAATGTCCACGGGCAAATTCTTTTTTTAAGGCTTTCGCTTTCACGCGAAGGTACCCACGCTGCGGAAGAAAGGGAAACACAGCTGCAGAAAATCAAACTTGGTAAGTATTTTTGGAAGATTTACTAGAAGTTCTGTGAAAAGTTGTGTGAACAGAGCCATTTTGACGATTGTCCAATCCTATAGTTTTGAGTTGGACAAAGGCGCCAAATCGGCAGGAATTTTCATCAATTGATTAAGTGGCGTTGTTGATGGATTGAGCTGTCGACTTCTACAAACATTCTTTTTCTCTGGTGGCCACTACTTTCTACGGTGGATGATGAAGCGTATGCGAGAGTGGCAGATTCTTTGGCGCGCATTCTAGGTAGACGTAATCAACATCGTGGGGTAGCTTTGCGGGTTGTCCTGGAATCTTGGAGATGCTTAATACGATAGATTACAAAACTCTCTACCTCGGCACGGCAGGTCGATCGTTACCCTGTAGGTCTGAGTGCTTGCCTTCACAGGCGTTGGAAGGGATGTTGCATGTTTTCAGGCTGGATTTTAGAACACCTTTAAGCTTTTACCTCTAGTACTGACCTTCACGAGAAAATCAGTTTCTCGTTAGTTCTCCATAGAAGCTTTTGGAATCTCTGGTTGTCTTGCATGCAGTTAAGACGTCATACCCATCGGATGTGGTTCTTTATGAGGAATGCTTTGATTCCCTCAATCTTACATCGCTCAAGTGCGGTAGTGCTTAACCCTGTTCTTCCAAGAGACTCCACAGATCATGCGAAGACATCTGAGGCGAGACTGGTCAAGCTTTCTCATGTGATAGGAATACCATGGTTAAGACTCGCATTGACACAGTAATTTATATCAGAACAGCTGTTCTATAGACTCAAACTTTTTGGTTTAGCTGGATTCCATGGTCTTACCAGAGTCGATGGTGCAATCCTCTGGTGGCAACTCTTGCTTTAAGTTGCCAATAAGTGATGTGTCTTCGCCACCGATGGCTGCATTCCGTGGAAGAAAGTTACCCAAGTAGCAGAATTTTTGTACGACTTTCAGCCCAGGGTTCATTGATCGCCTATCTTTATGACTGGTTGGTCACGAGGTTGGTGAGGCTGGCTGCCTGGTTCGGTCTGGAACATTATTGCATTTTTTTTTTAATGCTCATTGTGAGGCCGTGGCGGGTGGCTGCCCTGAATTACTCATTTGAGATGTCTTGAAGATCTTGATTAGCTTTTAGTTCTTATTTAGCTCTTAAATTTTCATCAGTTTCATAATGAAGGGTTATATGCCCGGAGTCTATTTCTTTCTCGTCCGACATTTTACAGTATCCTCCACTCACAGATTCCAGCTTATTCCTGCTCAGGAGCACGATCACGGACTACACCTGGGTTGGAAATAAAGAGGGGAAAAGTTAGAGGTGATCTCTGATTTTTATTTTTTTTTTCCTCGTTTGTTTTTAGGTTACAGAAGGGATGAGATAAAACTCAGAATCTTCACTCAAAATCTTGATGCTGAAGAACAGGGCAGGCCCAGTCACCACTTTGCTGCAGACTTAAATACTTTCATGAAACGAAACACATTTTCTCCGTCTATTGGACTAAATGTTTTCCTGAAGCATGTAAAAGATGTTTATAAACTCAGCACAAAATCATTAGGGTTTGACTGCTTAGAAATAAGAGTGGAATGTCTCACCTTAGAGAGCCTTGAAAGACTTTGGGAAAACTACCTCTCTCGCTGCCTCGATGAATTCGCCAAGAAATATATTCTAACGACTGAAGCTCTAGAGAAACTCAACCTGACAGTAATGAAGTTAACAACTATCATTGAAAAAGAGGACTACGAGACATGCAGAAAGTCTTTCACAGAACGTGTGAAGCCATCGAAAGAAGTAACAAGTTCAGGTAAATATTATATTAAAAACGCGTGTCGCTTTTTTTTCTTAAAACTTTGACTTCATATTTCAATTACCACCAGCTTTACCTGTAGAATTTTGGATAACTCTTTAATGAAATGTTATTCTTTCAGCGTAGCCAGGAAATGCATGCCGCAAAATTGATAGCGAAATTATATTTTAATATTACAAAATTTAAATCTGTCCCTTTTCATTTACATAATTAAAGTGAAAAGTCCATTTTAAAAAGTGCATAGAGTTAATCTCTGACTGCCTCATTCGACTTATCCCTTCACCTGGTTGCCACAGTAAACATTAGAGGTATTCTTCATTTTAAAGGGCTCTGTTAAGAGAAAAATATGTATTTTATATCCGAATACTTTAGATGTTGCGCTACAGTGACACACATGGCTTGAAAGAAAAATGTTTCTCGCTGATCGTTTTTCCGCTCTGTTCCCAAACTCCACTCTGTTGTAAAGTCTACCCATGTGTTAAAATGGGAACAGGCGAAAAGATTGATTGAAATGCAAGTTCTGAATTGAGACTGTACGTTGATTTTTTAGGCGCTGCTGTGAAACTGCATGAAATAACTGTTAAAATCACCACCCACAATATTGGAAGTGAAAACCGAAAGAAGTTCAATCAAAATTTTGTAGCCGACGTTTTTTTGTTCGTGAACTACAAGACAGTCTCTCCGACCAAAGGACTTGGCACCTTTCTCAAATATTTGGAAGATGATTACGACCTGCGAATCAAAGCATTGGGGTTCGGCTGTTTGGGGATAGGATTGGAATGCTCAAGTGTGGAAGGCCTTGAATATCTGTGGACGGACTACAAGTCAGGTCAACTCGATGGAATTGCCTCGAGATGCCTTGTCACTGATGGAGTAACGAACAAAGCTCCACCGCGAGAAGTAAAGTTGAGAACTTTTATTAGAGATGAAGAGTACGTCGCGTGTAAGGAATCTTTCTTTGAAAGAAGTAAGCCTCTGACAACAGGTGCTAGTCGAGGTACGTATTATCTTTGTTTTTGTCACGTCCTACGAGAGTCTCTAGCGAAAACTATAACAAATAACAACTCATTACATTTATTTTACAAGTTATCAAACCTAACTTGTTAATTTTTCACCCACCACCTGCGTGAACTGAAGCATCATCATTACTTTCAACATTATCGTTGCCGTCGTGGTCGCTACCCATGTGGCACGATGATGGTCTAGCTGCTATTATAACTGACGTTTATTCTGTAACCGGGAAAAGGAACATTCTGAGTGACGTGTAAGCTGAGTGACGTATTATTTTTTTTTCCTTTTTACATCACTTACCTTTTGTCTTGTTCCTATTTGGTTGTCTGTTTTTTCTTCATTTTTAGAAAACACTTCATCACGTCATACTGACCATTCGAAGTCACAAGCTGAAGGAAACGGCTTAAAGGAAGCCGAACAGGGCGCTGAAGCTAGTTTCACAATCACTACACGAGATTCAGAAGGAAAACAGTTTTACAGCGAACAAGAACGCGTGACCGTCACCATCAGATCTCCGACAGGAGAAGAAGTAGCGAAAACAACAGATGTTGAAAATGGTTATTACAAAGTACATTACAAGCCGAAGAAACTAGGACGACACAACGTTACAATAGAAATCAACGGATGGCCACTGACCAGTAGTCCCTGGAGAGTTAACGTGAAGCCGCATCAGTACAAAGTAGTTAGGCCGTATGGATCGTTTGGAAGAATAGAGGGAGAATTTATCGCACCGATAAGTATTGCAAAGAATGAAAAAACCGGAGAAATTGCGGTGGCAGATTTTGTCAAATACCGCGTTCAGGTTTTTGATGAGAATTTGAAATACCCCAGGACAATAGGGGGCGAGACGGGATCACAAACTGGTGCAGCTGTGAAGATTGGTCGTCCTGTGTCCATAGCATTCTTAAGAAATGGTGATATGATAGTCATTCATGGCGCTTTTGATTTAAATGAAATGTCTCTAATCACTAATGAGGGACAGTTTATCCAACAGTTCAGTGAGCACTTAATAAATCCCCGAACTGTGTCTGTTAAAGCTGATGGAAACGGTCACGTGGTTGTTCTTGATGAAGGTGACCGTAAAATCAAGGTCCTTTCCTCAGACGGTGCTCATTTGCTTCAATTCTTCCGAATCCCAGATTTCGACATTGACGTTACCTGCGTTTGTTATCATCACGACAAGGTCTTTTTGTCGTATCCCTTAACGCACTGTGTTAAGGTTTTCAACGAGAAAGGTGAATATGAATACAGCATTGGCAGCGAGGGGTCTGGTGAAGGACAGCTCATGTACCCCCGAGGTCTTGCTGTTGATACTTTTGATAACCTAATTGTCTGTGACAGTAGCAATTCCAGACTTCAAATGTTTACTCAGGATGGTGAGTTTCTCAGGTCGTTTGGTAAAGAAATCTATGCTCCCTTGGCTATAACAGTTTGTAAAAATGGGGACTTGCTTGTCACTGACAATAGACAGCACTGTGTTGTTCATTTACGATAAGCTTTTTCCTCCTTTTTTTTTGTTAATTTTTCTCTTTGATCCACTTATCCAGCAGTCTCTTTGTAAGCTAATAAATGTACGGATCTGCTCAAGAGTATGCTGTTATATTCTTAATAAACATGATAAAAGTTATACGTTTTTTCCTTTTTGCATTCTCGAGAATGAGTTTGTAAAATAGCTCTTCTGTCGGTAGGCCTTATTTACATCATTTCGAGTGACAACCGTCAATTTTA